TGCACTAGAAATGCTAGAAGATCATTCATACCACATATGACCATTAATATATACATCTAAGCTGTAATGTACTCCTATTCCCAAGTTAAGAGAAGGCAACTTCTATCCATTGTAACAGATATTTAAAAAGGAGTATCCACAGAAAAGGATGGAGGGGAAGAACTCACTGAAAACAACTGTCAGTTACATAGCAAAAAAAACCCAACCCCAAACCAACAAAACAGTCCAAGGGAACCCAAAATATGATACTCACAAAACAACAGACAAATATGCAATTGAAAAATCTCTGGTGACATGGGGTTTTTGGAGATACCTTTGCTAATTTTGCTCTTGTAAAGTTACTTACACAGTAAGTTTAGAACTATCCTGGATTTTTCTCCAGTTCAATCATTTAGCTGGGAGCCTGCAGACTGAACTTTACTGTGTCAAACCATGAGGCTCTCCTTCCTGGAAGCACATCAAGGTTCTTGCATGAAATCTGATCATCAGCACAGCAGGATTAATGACAGAGGTGGTCAGGCTGATAAACTAGCAGAACAGAAACCTGCTTAAGCAAGTATGGAACTGCATCTAAGATAAGGTCGTTATGCATTCGCACCCCTTTGTGCCAAAACTGAAGCGAGACCTTGTTTGAAACTGATGTGAAAGAAAAGGCTTTATCACTCATTGTCTCCCTGCAGGAGGTCTGTGGTTGTTTCTGGGAAAGCAGACACAAGATACTCAGCCTACTACCATGGGTCTCCTAGAGTAATGCCACTGATTGCAGACTGACACCATGTGATGTCTAGTTTAGCTTACTGAAGGGGGAATGGCAGGGGAAGGTTTTTAAAGATTTAGCAGACTTATTTATGCACAGGAAGGTAAATTGTGTACCAGGGATTTCACTCAATCAAATTCTCAAACGGCTGTTTATCTCTGTATGCCAGTACCTGACTAAACCAAGTGCTCTCTTCAAACAAGATATTCTTAAAAAATCAATTACTATGAATGCTGGAAAATTACCTTTACTTTTAGCCACTTTTTCCCCCACTTACTTTTGTTTCCTAACGATCAATAATACCATACCTTTCTGCTGGATATGCAAGCAGCTTACCTCACGGTGCTTCTCCATAATGTTCCTCACCAATGCATGGTAGAATATCATAGCTGTGTCACCTAGTAAGTCTGTTCACAAAGTATGCAGCTATTTGACTACAGAACTTTTTGAAGTCCACACATAAATATGATTGGCAATACCACTATAGGATAAACTCATAACCTAAGCACCAGAATATCCAAGTATTAAAGAGGACTAAATCCTGAATTTACAGAATAGGGAAAGACAGGATGTCTAATTGGCAACAATAAGATAAACCTAAGACAAAACTACTCCAAAACACAAATTCTGAAATTCACACAAGCAAACCAAGGTCTGTTATTCCCCAATTACTTAGAGATGACCCAGGTCTATTGGTACCCTTATACACTTCACATCAGCTTCACTATAAAAGCTGTAAAGATGAGGTCCAGTGGCACACAGAACTTTAAAAATCAGTTCATTTCACATTAAGAAATGTCTGGATACAAAGACATTTGCTACAAAGTGCATTACAGAAAGTTCTCCGAACAGGAAAATAAGTAGAAAAAAAACAAACGAAAGAAAAAAACCAAACCAAAACCTGTTTTCAAGTGGTATACAAGGTGGCTTTATAGAGAACTGACCTGTACCAAGTCTCCTACACACCCCAGATAAAATTCTTCAGGTCCGCCCATTTGAAAGAATTAAAAACTTGTGTCAGTGGAAATTAAATTTTAAATATCTAGCTAAACAGAAAAACTATGAAGCTCCTTGCCTTTACACAATTAATGCCTTTGGGTATTAAAGCAACATAAAAATAATTTTCATTTTCTAATTCACATATCTATTCATACCAATAAAGAGGATAAGAGTTTTTTTGGTTTAACTTTTTAAATAAAAGACTACATGAAGTGTCATGGAATGGACATAATATACTGTGAGATAAAGTTTTCTGGCATTTCACCGAAATGGAAATAATTTGGAGGGTGACTTCGTTTAGAGTCAGGAACTAGGACAAGGAAACTAATTATTTTTGCAATGCCTGAAAGCCTGGAAGTCAACACAATGTCCTATTCCTCTACAATGACCCTTACAAGAATAGTCAGAACAGCAGAAATATCACCAGTGCTATAAAACTGGGGTTGCCTGCATGGTTTCACAAATTGCTTTACAAAGATCTTACCCACTTCCCAGATTCATCGCAGCAAGTCACTGACAACATCAGATTTTCTCATTCATACTATTTACTTCAAACCAATCCCTGATTACTTGAGTTAGAGGCATGGCATAACAAGCAGCAAAGGAAACAGAAGAGCAGCTAATTGTATTGTAACTTCAGTGCAATAAATTTTGTGGTTTCGAATTCAGTAATCGTGTAAATCTCCTAACACATGCATCTACTGTTGGGAGGCAAAGACTACCAAAGGAATGAGTACAATCCCACAAAACTAATAAACTAGCTAAATTAAAGACATTCACACTTACATATGGGAGAACCAATAGCCATTGGCATTTAATCTACTCCATGAATATGAAAATAGACGGCAGAGACAAAAAACAGGGGTTTGGTGGTTTTTTTTTTTAGATTTTACTGTTTCTCCCAAATAGGCTCTGCAACTTCCCAAATAAATTACAAGTGATAAAAAACAGCTGGAAGAGTGACAGAGGAAATATTTGAGACCTGCAAGTTCTCCATTGTTCACTCATCCTGAGTAAAGCAAATACAAGAACAAACAGTTTACTTGGGTGAAAAGTACTTCTGCTGATACTCTCGTACATTCTCAGCAACAAACACGAAGCAATCAACGTGAAGAGCTGAAAGAATTACACACACACCTTGAACACCTCGGAGAAGAAACCAGAGCCAATTTTCTCACATGTGAAGTCATCAAGACGAGTCAGTCTGGAAAAGGCACTTATCAGGGCTCTGTACGAAGAGGTACAAACTCTTCCTATCTGGGAGACAGGCCCTTCTCCTCCAGCGCCACCATCAAAGTCTTCAGCGCGCTCCAAGCGTGGTGGAAAGCCTGCTATTGAATTCCGCTTACTTCGGTCCATTTTGAAAACAAGGTTTATTTTGCTAAGGGAGGACTGCTCACATCTTAGGTAATTTGTTGTCTTCTCTACTCTTGTTGGAGCCTAAAATACAAGAAATTGAGATTACCATTATTGTGAACATATCTAATAAGTTTGATCGGACTCCAGCAAAGCTTACACCAGTTGAAGGGAGTAAGGAGAAAAAAAAAAACACAAAAAAACCACAAAATCCGAAGATCTCCAAGTACAGGCACAAAAAAAGCAAAGGAAAAAAAAACCCACCACAGCCAACCACACAGCATCATCAGTAAAGACAGACAATCTATTGAACTTTTCCTTTAGATTCATGGAAATACCCTGTGCTCTGGCTATTACGAGATGAATAGGGTTAGAAGTAAAAATTTAACTGGCAACAACTTTCATTCCCTTCCCCCCCCCGCTTTCTTTTTTACTTAAGTTCTTGTTGCTAAAGCAAGCAACTAAGCAGGAGGAAACCCACAAACCATAACGTTCTATTTTACTTCAGCAGCAATTGGTGACCCATCTACTGCTATTGCAAGAAACCGTTTCACATTGGGGACTGAATAGAGGATCCCTAACTTTAAGAAAACAGATCACCTTTCAGTTGACATAAGGAAAATTATTAGCTGTCAATAGCAGTAGCTGGAGCACCAAAACCTTTGTTTTTAAAAGCTTCCACCTATGAGTGTTCCAACACCAATTCCTTAACTGTTAAGATGATAAGTTTATATCCACTTAAGATCTAGCCCCCAAATTTATAAAAACATCAACAGCCCTGCTACAAAAACAAAGTATTCTTATAAGAAACTGACAGAACAATTCTCCTCACAAACACATTTTTTAAAGCTATATTAATTTCAGTTCAACTGAAAACACAGGAAATAAGGTACATTTGCCAAGTAGGAGAAAAGAAAAAAAAAAGGCGGGGGGGTGGGGGGGTGAAGAGGACAGCAGTAAGGGAAATTTTTTTATTTTTAAGAGGATGATGAAGTAATCAGGATGATTCTGGAGCCCATCAAATTCAGCTTGGACTGGCAAACCTGACAGGTGGCCTACTTTTTTTTTTCCCTTTAAGCCTTAGACTCAGCAGGTTATTCATCTTTTCCACACTTAACTGTTCATTTACAGCAATTTGTTGAGCCCCTACAAAACCTGAACAAAGTGAGCAGTCCTACTGAGGATAGATTTCTCTTTTTTCTTTTTCCCCCGAGGGTGAATGAAAAACTGGAGGGAGGGGAAGGAAACAATAAAATTATTTAAAAAAAAAAGCAGACAAAATAATCACAAAGCAGGGAGCAGGCCAGGCAATTATACTTCTATTTACACAGATGTACAGAACCTGAACAATACACTAAATTTGAAGAGCATCTCAAAAACAGAGGCACACCAGCTGTCCTCTGAATATATAGCAGCGCTGCTATACACTGCATGCAAAGCATGGGTATCTTTTAGAGATGCTCTGTGCCAACAGATCAGGAAAACACATAGTCTTTCCCTGCCTTCAAAAGTAAGCTCTGTTGAACTGCGTGGAATTAATTCGAGGCTGTCCTCTCCAATAAAGAAACTAAAAAAAACCCAAACCCCTGTATTTTTCAAGGCTGTTTATTTCAAACATCTTAACACTTACCTCTCTAAATGGGACTTGGGCAGAGGTGGATATAAAAGAATCTTACCAGGGCCTGATTAAGAAAATTTAATCTCTATCAAACCCCACGTCATGGTATTCATACAGAATTTTATACACAGACTCCCACACGCGTGAGCTTACAGCACTTTTCAAATGATAGTACTACATAGTCTAACGTTACGGTGTGGCCGACTGCCACACAGAAGATCAGGATCCAATTTCTGACTTCATATTCTTGCCCCATGAGCCTTGAGGGTCTGGAAATGGTACAGAAGCACCATGGGAAGATAAAGCCTGTTATAGCTCTCCAGCAGAGAAAAATAGCCCAGAGAACCTCCTCAGCTATAGAGAAGATGCCCAGGAATTTCCAAGGCATGCTTAAATAATTCCTTTTGATCTGAAAGGGACAAGCTAACTTTTGGTTACTTTTCAAGGAGATAAAGAAAGAACTGTCTATGGAAGGAGGACAGACAGGAAACCATAGTGTTAACAATTCATTTTCTGGAACAGGAGATGCAAGTATCTTTGGAGACAGACTAAAAAAATCTGCTATAATCGAAGAAACAATTTTTTAGAACTTATTTGCATCAGAGTAATACCCACACACACTAGACACTTTCCAAGGAAGGAAGCAAGCGTTGCCCCAGAAATGCACAGTCTGACACTCCAGTATCACAGTAATGCCATATGAAGTGGACCCTGGAGCTTGTAGACACCCCTGCTAAATCTAGTGAAACAACACATCTGCACTGCAGCCCAGCAAATAAAGCAACTTGTAAATCAGGACTGTAAGTTCAAGTTCTCAGGCAAAGCAAGACATATGCAAAAAAAAATTAGGGAAGATTGTTGTTGTCTTAACTAGAGGAAGATACCAAGTTAGGTAAGCTATCTTCACAGGAGGAAAAGCCTAACTGTGCTAAGTATCCAGATGCCATTAACAAAAGTTCAGCTCTCAACAAAGTCTATCAATCTATTTAACAACAACAACAAAAAAATCACCCTCACACATACACATCCTTTTGATTGAAATCACATGGTGAACTTTGCAAAACTCTACACAAATCCCACAATGAAAGAAGAGATTTGAAGTACTTCACACAACATAAACCCCAAAAGGTTTTGCCATCTGGATTCCCAAGTAACCCATTCCTTCATTTTTGCCTGCTAGAATTTGCCTTCTTTCCAGACAACTACATGAAATCCTTGGAAACTATTAGGATAGAGCTCTATTTGTCTAGTATTCTGCCCAGGATTGCATACACAGAATTACAGGAAAATTTCAAGTGGGCACAATTCCAAGTGGGCCTCCTGTCATTTTGGCCAATTACGCTAATGATCACATTCTCAATGAAATCAACCAAGGTTTAATTGACTGTCAAGTCAGTCTGAGGTACTTTAATTTACTACCTTGTATGGTTAATTAAAGTGCACTGAACAGAATCCAAGAATATTCTGCAAATCCTGCAACCAACTAAAAGGTTGTTGCGTATTTTTTTTTTTTTTCATATTTAAGTTCAGCTTAAAAACTCTTAAGCTGTGCTCAACAACCGGTTAAAAAAAAGACACTAAACACACTGAAAAAACATTTCTCAATAAATTCGTAGCCTTCAGACCACTTTTTCTGTCATCCTTACACAAGAAAAACACCCTCCACTCTGCTAAGACAAAAACCTTTCAGAAATACCCATCTCAAAATGCACACCTCCCCTACTCATCCATTTATTACATTACTGAAAAGCACAATTTCAGAATGTTTCATGCCCTACCACATTTTAATTTCTTGGTTTAAAAAACAAACCTTGAAGAAAAAAAAAAAACAACGACATCAATACTAATTATAAGATCAGTTTCTCCACTGCATGAATGCACTGATTTTTGAACTGTAGAAATGGCTATAAATACAAATATTATCAGCATTTATTTGGTTAATCAGAGGTTTGGCTTTCAAAACCAATGCCTAAGCCTGCAAATATTTAAAGATGGAAAGCCCACAATAGCACATCAAGTTATACCCCACACATCAATGTAAAACTAGCAGGTGACATATATTAGCCAGTACTTAACATTTTATCCTTCATAGACATAAAAATGGGCAAGGCTTCTCAGCTTCAGCAGCATCCTTTTAATGCCTCAGGGTATAAAATAAGATCCTTCCAAAAACATTTCAATTCATTACTAAGACTTTTTCTGTCACCAGTATCTTTATAAATATGTGCATATGTGCACTCAAATGTCAAACTCACAATTTCCTAAAAGATGGCCTTAACAACAACAACCATTTTTAGACACAGAAGACTGTCGCTAGGCATTCAGCCTGGAAAGCAATAAATCTGGTGTATGCATGTTATTAATTTGAAAAGGTTTTCTGAAGAACAAGATGCCAAAGCTTTGACATAAGTCATTTGCCAGGAGTTAACTGTTTAAACTCATAGTCTGATGTTGCTTCAAAACTCAGCACTACAAAAACATGAAGGAATTATGCTGGCAAGTGTCACTCAACAAAATAATAACTTGAGGGGGAAAAAAAAGGAAAAAAGAATTCACTGTCGTAATGTGCAAATTTCATAAAAGCTTCAAAGGAATGTAAAGAACAAAACCTTCCAAAGACTGAATTGACTTTGTGGTCATTAGCCAAGAGAGGGAAAAAAAAAAAAAAAAATGTTTGGCAATGGAACACAAGAAATCAAACTAAACAGGTAAAGAGAACCAGGCATTCCACAATTTTGTTCTCAACTGCTGTCATCCCGTTTCCTAACGGAGGAAAGTTACTTAGTTTGTCCATAACTTACCTTTCCTTGGGAGAAAGATGATATCAAATATTTACAGAAAAAGTATCTACAAGTACCAGAGCTTGCACTGTGTTTGGCCCAGCTCATCCTGAAGCTGAAGTCTTTTTGACTACTTGTACCAGATAAGCCTTAGGCTCCAGTTTATAGTGTTAGCTATGACACTGCACTCGAAGATGAAAATCCCAACACTTTATATTTTCATTTAGGTAACATTTTGCTTTAATGTCACCTCCCTTGTAGGGAATAACTCCTAGCTCTAGCCAGTACTGTCACAGCATAAGCTCCCCACAACTAGGGCTGATGTTCCCCAGAAGAGACCTGCATTAGCCCTACTACATCACTCCAGAAACTGGAAGTCTACTAAACTGCACCCTGGTTTTATAATGCAAACAAACTTCCACAAGAGGCTAAGCTGAAACAAACAGTTCATTTATTTTGTGACTGTAGCCAAGTTTGAAAACAGTAAGAGAGACTAGCCATTAACTTAGTGCAGAGCTCATGATTCAGGGCCAAGGTTGTAGGTTTAAAAATATTTGCATCAAGCATAGACATAAATTCTGGCACATGTTTAGAAGACAAACATA